ATATATCTAAACTATTTTGTCAAATTTAGAAAGTTTCTCTATGACGTTTAATCAATCCAGACTCCAATCATATATTAGGTTATGAGACTTATTATTTTCTTGCGTATATTCTTAGAATATTGTTACTATAAATTCTATATACATATGACAGACAATTTTTTAGCAGATACAAAAAACAGCTGTTATCGCTAGCGATATAATTTAAGTGTAATATTTAGAATTCTATCTAGAACAGCGAAACATTTCCCTGAGTGATACTAGCAATCGGCTCAAGTTTTCGGATCGAGAACTGTATAGCCAATAGGGCTGCAGGTGATTTGCTTTGACATTCGAACTTCGAAGATTCGAAGCTTCGGCATTCAAATCTTCGAATTCTTTCGAAGCTTCAAAGCTTCGAAAAATACATTTGTGCAGCAAATGATAAATTTATTCAGAAAATTTACAAATATTGTAAATAAAAAGAATTAATATATACGCTCAAGATATACGAAATTATTCCTAACAAATTTGAAAAAAAGGAGAAAGAGAGAGTACTATAACCTGAAATATTACAAATTAATAATTAAACTTGATACATGTGTAAATAAGGAAAAATAATGAATAAAACAATCCAATTAAGAAAATAAAAAAAAAATAAATAAATTTATTCTTAAACTTTGAAGCCTCGAAGTTAATTTTAAACTTTGAAAGGTCGAAGCTTCGAATATTCGAAGTAAGTAAAAAGTAACTAGTCCTAATAGTCAATAAAATTGTTGCTTTTCCATAAAAGCTGCAAATTGTTTGGCTACACAATTCTCAGTTCAAAAACCTGGACCAATTTCTAGTATCGCGAACATAAACCGTTTGAAATTAACCAATCACAATCGAATGTTAGGAGAATAAAATCAATCACGACTGGTTAATTTCTTACAGCTTACAACTTAGTTTACACTTATTATAGTTGAACCTTTACAAAGACGAAAGCCGGGTAAACCGAAACAGTGGAGAACGATTTCGAAAAACGTAATA